AAAAAAAAAAAGACGTATACTGGGTCCTCATGAGAAATACAAGGGAATGTCAGAGGCAGAAGGTGGGAAAGAAGAAAGTTAGGGGAGCAGCTAGGAAACAAGTCCAATACCGAGAGAAGGCATCAGAGAGGAAAGCCTGTTTCATTTCGTGGAACTTTGTTCAGTTTGCAAAGCTGAGTTTGGCTCATCTCAAGAAGAAACGATATATCCAAGCTGAAGAATGTGCCCTGAACATGTTTCCCTTATTCTAAAAGCAAGATTTTGCTAATGTTTCCAAGTTTGTCAACATTTATAAAAAGTAGACATAAGGATTTGCTATTTGCATACCACCCAAAGTTTTTTCTGCAATGGCACAGACACAAAATTAAAATGTTCATCTAAAACACCAGGGTAAATGGATAGGATGCTCACTGCCCAAGAGGCCCCACCCTGGACTCTGTTCTCTGGGCCCCAGGCAGCTGAACTGAGAGATGAGGATATCAATATATCGGCATATGAGGATGACCTCATATGGGCTGGAACACATGAGCTGGAAAGTCCTGGTCTACACCACCTCAAGGGACAAGTCTGGATTTCATTGCTATTCTTGCAGACAGAAATGGGAAACAGCCCGTTTAGCTGTATCATTTATTAAAAGATCGAGACACTGCCATGTCAGTTGGTCAATAGCCACTACTCTCTACCTAACTCCTACCAACTCCCTCTCCTTGATCCCCACCCCTTCTCCCAGGACACACACCCCTCATTTGGCCCAAAATGGAGGTGGGTGAGTGGGGTGGTGGGTAGTAATTTTCCATACCTTTTAAGGTCTCTCCAATGTACTAAGTAAGTAGTTTATTTGCAAAAGACAAATGTCCTATCCAAAATAAAATGTAAACTCCAACCTTTGGATAATTTGAGCTTGAATATTTCAATGTTACTAACAAAATTTCCCAGTTAAGCACAACGACCACAGTCACAAAATGTTGCTACCTAATAATGAAAAACCGTAAATGATCTTACTGTTGCTCATGACAAGCATTATAAACATTCGTAATAATTGCTGCTCAGAATCCAACTGTCATACTCGTGCTTTCTGTTCAGTATGAGGACCAAAAAATGCTTAACTAGCTGGAATTATTAAAGCCTGTAATTTGGAACTCTGCTCAAGGAGTTGGAAAAAGTTGCACAAGAACAATTTGGGTCCCTTTCTCATGGGGACAAACGCAAACATTGACTTACACTAAAGAATTAGTGTTCCGACACAGGATTTAATGGGGGCATGACCAGGCAGAGCTGAGGAGGGAAGGTGGGAGGCTGCCCTAAGCCACAGTGGGGGGCTTCTAGCCAGAGGGGTGCAGTCACCAGAGTCCCAAACTAGGGTTCTTAAAAGTTACACAGCTACTAACCAACATGTGATCATGAGCTTGCCTCTTCCTAGAGAGAATCTCCTTTATTGATACAGGATGAATGTATTTGAGGTTTTAAAAATACAATGCATGTTAAAATGATCAGAACCAGGCCTGGCACCGGTCAGCTCTCAGGAGTCACTGCATTGGCTTCCTGACTGTTCTCTTGCTTCCTCTCCTCTTCTA